TTCCATAGGGTCGCAGTCTTGGAAATCCTATGGAGTGGTTTGTACCCTGCACATGAGGCATCCTGGTTTATAATCCACTCAGCAGCAACTAACAGCAACAACAATAGTAGGGCTGGCCTTTGCATGGAGACTTGGTTTGACATATACCATCTAGCTCTATTTGACATTGGTCATAGATTTATGTTTGTATGATGATGCTCCATAGCACTGCTTCCCCCCTCTGTAACTTTTCACATGACCGAAAATTTCAGAGTGATATATGTTGTTGTTTGGTGCTATTGAGTGAGTTCTAACCCACAGTGACCCTATGCATAACAGAATGAAACAATGCCCCATCCTGCACCATCCTCACAATCACTCCAGTGTTTGGCCCATTGTGAAATAGAGTGAATACTATATACTAAAAGCATTATATTAATTTGGGCTCACATATACATTCATAACTCAAAACCCACTGCCATCAAGATGGTTCCAATTCGTAGAGCAGAATTGCCTGTAGAATTTCCAAGGCTGTAATATTTATAGGGTCAGATGGCCACATCTTGTTTATCTTGTGAGTGGTAGGTTTGAAACAGTACCTTTCAGGAAGCAGTCAAGTGTTCAGCCGTGACACCAAACGGGCTCCGTACATTCATCGCAAACGGGTTTTCCTCTAGTAATTTCAACAGCTTTATTGAGGTATAGCTTACATGAAGTACACATATTTAAAGAACATAATTTGGTTGTGGTTTTAAATATACCCTGAAACTATCAACACAATCAAAATAATGAACGATATCCATAACCCTCAAAAGTTTCCATGTCTCCCTTTGTAAGTTTTCCTTCCTGTCCCACTTTGCTGTTGTCCTGCTGCCCCCAGGAACCAGGGATCTGCTTTCTGTCACTGGAAGTTTGCATTTTCCAGAATTTTGTAGGAATACAGTTAGAGAGCTGAATCTATTTTGGGGTGGGGTGGTGACTTTTTTCACGAAGTAAAATATTTTGAGACTCATAGCAGTTCCAACAGTTCCTTTTAAAAAAAAATGTTGCTAAGTAATATTCTATTATATGGATGTCACAATTTGTTTATCCATTCAGCTTCTAATGGACATCTGAGTAGTTTCTAATTTTGTACGGTTACCTGTAAAGCTGCTATGAACATGTCTTGTGTGGACACTTGCTTATAAATCTCTAAAGTGAATACCTAGTAAGAGTAGAATGGCTAACTTGTATTTAATTTTTAAGGACCTACAAAACATTTCTAATGTGGTCATACTATTTTACATTCTTATTAGCAGAATGTTTTAAGAATGAAAAACTCCTCACTGCTATCGAGTCTACTCTGACAATGAGGAGCCCTAGAGGACGGGGTAGAACTGCCTCTGTGAGTTTCTAAGACTGTAACTCTTTTTTTTTTTTTTTAGCATTTGTGTACAGTTTATTTTACATGAACATAAGATTTTATTTCTTTGGGATAAGCTATATGCCCAACACTGCAATTGCTGAGTCCTATGCAGTTCCATGTTTAGTTTTATAAGAAACTCCCTAGTGTTTTCTAGCATATCATTTATTAATTCTCACATAATTCTCTTTGCAAAAAAAGGGAAAATTATGGAAATGTTTTGAGATGACATTTTCTACCAAACAAGCCACATTTTTTCTCGTATATGAGACTCTTGTCTCTTTCTTGCCTCCTCTTTCTTTTTTTTACTTAAAACATTTTTTTATGGGGTAATTTCTTTTTTTTTTTTT